GCCTTTCACATACGTGTTATATTGTATGAAGCGATACGCATCCTGTGGTTGTAACAGCACTTTAAAAGCTTGTCCAAGTTTACACGTCGAGCAGATGTTGAGCAAGAACTTTCCCCACTGTGGGCAGTGCGTGTTCCCATCCAGTAAAATGAGCGGTGTTAGCAAAGGTCTTAGTTACCAATGTAATTTGGTGGTACAGCGCTCGGGTTTGTGTATCATCAGCACAGATCAGTTGCTATAACATATTTCCTTGAACACATGCCCCGAATTGCGAAAGTTGTTGATGCACCAATAAACGTGAGTGATGCATGCATGCTCGGTCAGTGTCACCTGTGCCTCAGTTCTTGAATTTCAGGTTTGGGCCCTATTCGCTGTTTTCTAGGTCTTCGCATCGATGCAATGCAGCCTTTGAGCGGTTTCCCTCTGCTTTCCCTTCGTCTCGTTCCCTTTTTCCCCTTGATGCTAAGAGACAGTCGTGGCGAGAGAGGGACACGGCCTCGCAACCTGCTCAGGAGGAAGTTTCTTCACTCACAACTTGTTCAACAATAACTTTTTTTTTTTAATAGTAAAATATTTTCTCTGTGTAATTAGAGTAGGTATCAAGAGGAAAAACTGTAAGGAGAGTTTTACATACCTCCAGAAGCAAAAAAAAAAAAAATTTTAGCTTGCTATTTTAAAAATTACAACTCTTTATCATACAAATTAAATGTCTGCCTGCATTTTAAATCCAGCTATGCATCCAGCTGAAGAGCTGCCATCGGGTTTTGCTCTGCTCGGGACTGGGCAGAATGAAGTTACTTCAAACTGACTAAAATCAGTATTGCTTTCTCGCTCCTCTGAGCGTGAGCACCAGAATGGTCTCTGTAACAAAAGACTGCAATAGGGGAGTTAACAAAATTAGGTTGTCCGAGATTGCAGTGTCCTTGTCTATTACTTATAATTAAAGCCTTGGGGAATTGTCTTATACCTTGAGAGCTGACTCCTCATTTCTGGTGAAGAGTTAATGCTAAATGGAAACAGATCACCTCAGTTCTCTACCTCCTTTCTGTAAAATAGGGATCATAAATAGGGTTCCTTGCTCAGTTCCCAGCCATATTAAGATTTAATTATTTCTCTGAACTGCTGTGTAACACTACATATTAACTCCCCGGTATTTTTCATAATTGATTTGTCAGCATACATGCTGTACATACAATTTGGTCTAAGGAAAGTGTCCAACAGTCCTACAGAGTCAAATAAATGTCATTACGTTAACAGGTATCTTATCGGTGACGCCGTGTGGATGCGTTTCCTCCAGGGCCGGGACTGAATCATTTGCACTTTTTTGTTTATGAACAGGGTGAGGCACAACGGGTCTGTTAACATGCCAAAGTCCTTTCACAGCATTGTGTAGTTTTCTCTGCATCATTTGACTACTTGCATATACTTCATGCCGTATATATGAAATCACGCTTTATTTTGGGTTGTAGCTATTTATATTCATTGGAGGAAGAGGAACGTGGAAAAAGAACAGGTTCTTTCCGGGCATCTGATTCAGAGAAGCTCAAGACTTCTCTTAATGGATCATGACATTTTCCTGACCCACACACAGCCCCGCAGGCAGCAAGCTTTACCTATTTTACTGCACGGATTTATGTCCTTGTGCTGCCAGCCCGGTGCTCGCGGGCTGCAGCCACCCTGTCCCACAGCGGTCGCTCATTCACACTGCGTTTCCACGTACAATAAAAAAATACCCCTGGGTTTGATTCACTCCCCCTCTTAGGGCAGTCTCAGAATGAAGTGCAAGGCGACGAACCCAGCGTGACTCAGACAGCCTTCAAATCGCTTCCCCCGTCCAGCACGACACCAGAAGCGCCCGCCCCAAATCCTGCGCTCGGCGCTGCAGATGCCGCCTGCCGCGATGCCCGGGCAGTGGCCGGGGCTGCTGCTCCGCATCCCTCACCTCTGCTGCCGGGCAGCGGGGGTCCCTGCGGCTCCCTGCGGCTCCCGGCAGCCTCTGCCCTCGGGATTTGCTCTGCAGCGGACACGTTCCCTTTCCCAACAGGGCACAGCCAGAGCTCCGCAAGGCTGGTGGGAACCTCTGCGCTTCCCGCCCCATCCGCTTCCTCTCCATCCTACCACGGCTTTAAATAACTGATGTTTCCACTTCCCTGTTCTGTGTAGCAGGGAACGCACGTTGCAACACAGCCTCCTTCTAAAAAAAAAACAATAAAAATAAAATCGTTGAAGCATGAAAACTTGGCTGAATCTGGCAGCTGTGTCAGTTCTGGAAGTTTGCTGCAGGGTTTGTGCTCAGATGTGTACTCGGTGAGGAGCACCTCGCCGAGCAGACACAAGTCTATGCCGTGTGTGGAGGAGAGCAGTGGCCTAAGCGCTGTTTATCAGAGGGAAAAACTGTAATTTTACTAGGCGAGCCCAAAGTCGGGGTAATAACAAGTCACTGCAGTTCTTTCATCTGTTTCTGCAGCCCCACATGGGCAGATCGGGTGCGGGGGGTCGGTGTCACCAGTGCTGCACTGGGCGCTGCAGATGGAGTAACTGGGCTCTCCTTTCCCTTCCCCCCAGGGAGCGGCAGCAGAGTGGTACCCCGTCCTCGGAGGAGGGGATGCTGCCGAAGGAAATGCCCCGGCAGCAGTTTCCGGGAAGGTGTCGGTGTGAGTGAGGAGGGCGCTGAGGGGAAGAGGAGTGTGATGGGTGTCTCAGGGGCTTTCTTTTTCCCCAGGCTCGAGGACTCAACCTCAAGCTGCCTCGTGAAGAGAAGGGATTCCAGCAAAGAGAAGGGATTCCAGCAAAGAGAAGGGATTCCAGCATTAGAGAGAAAGGGAATGAACCTGCAGAGGGGCTCAGCGCCCGCAGGGAAGGATGCCCGGAGGGGCGATGGGGAGCTGCAGCCGGGCAGTATGTGCAGAAGAGGCCACAGAGCACGCGTGACCTTGGCACCCCCTCCTCCAACATGCAAATAAAGCTTAGTGGTGAAACTTCCCTTCTAAAATGGCTTTTTACCCGTCTTTACAAGAATGTCAGAGTGTACAGCAGCAGGCGGCAAACTTCTGGTCTCTGGCAAAGTTCTGGCGATATGCAAGTACGTACCTGTTCTGGTAACGATCTGTGTTTTTAGAGCTGAGCAGGAACCGGGTCCTGCCCTGAGCTGAGGGACCTCGTGCACAAAACCACCCAAGAGAATAAACCTGTTGTGGGGTAATGCCTTCAGCAGCGCAGGGCGCAAACACCTAGCAAAGGACTTAATTATTATGTACCAAAGCGCTTTGGTCAGGGCTGCGCGTTGGGCTCCTCCGCATGTCAGCGAGCAGCTATGCGGCAGAACAGGCTGCCGGATTAAGGAGTCTCCGGCGAAACCCGTGCTGAGGACTGCAGAGGACACCAGCCAAGCCGGGAAGTGAGTGAACTGGGTGGTACCGAGCAGAGCTGCCCGCAGCCTCCCGGGCACGGGGTGCCTGCGCTGCCTGCGCCTCTGCCTGCGCCTCTGCCTGCGCTGCCTGCACCGCGCCGGCTCGCGGCAAAGCTGCTACCGGCAGGGCTGCGAGAAAGCACGGCACGCAGGGACCCGGCTGCTTCAGGTTAGAGTGTGAAGGTGTTTTTGGGGGCTTGGCTGCGCGGGGACGGAGCCCGGCCCCGAGTCGCAGCCAACCTGCCTCGCATGAGGATGAGTTTCTCTCGCGCCGGCGCAGCGCGCTGCAGGTGAGGGAGAGGGGGGTCGCCTGCGAGCACCCACTCGCCGAGCGCCCGCACAGCCTTATCTCTGCCGGGGAGGTGAGTTAATGTGTAACCCGGCTCTGTTTGGTTAGCCCAGAAAAGCAAAGAAGTCCTGGGATAGGCACGGCCGGGACAAGGATCTGGGCAGCGTGGAGCGACGGAGGTCCCG